GTGTTGGTTGTTCATTAAAAAATTGCAATTTACTGAATCAGACTTTCTCTTATAGATAGATAGATAGATAGATAGATAGATAGATAGATAGATAGATAGATATTGTTTAAAATATGTTATATTTATGGAAGAAAACCGAATGTTTGCAGAGATAGAGTCGATGTATGTATAGACAATGTGGACATATGAATCTATACTGTACGGTGAATGTCAGTTTCACGATTCAATTTATCTTCAACCAAGAGTGCGAATATCATTTAAGATGTGAAAATATGTCTCTACTGTCAATGCACACACACATATATATATATATATATATATATATATATATATATATATATATATATATATATATATATATATATATATATATATAGATAGTTTGATTAAAACAGACAGCCTCATATAAATTAATGAATAGATTTGTTTTAAAACCTACATTTTTTTATTATTTCCAAAGTTATGTTTGAAGTAGATTAGATAGATAGATAGATAGATATTATCGGAATGCGAAATCGGAGAGCCGTGTTCGAATGCCAGTGAAGTTCCTTTCATTCACTCACGCGCAAATACTTTTGAGAAAAGATACGAATCCCTCACCTTCCTTCCAGCTATCGGTAAATAGCAGAACAAACAGGTGGGAGTTTATACACACACACACACATATATATATATATATATATATATATATATATATATATATATATCCTATATATATATATATATATATATATATATATATATATATATATATATATATATATATATATATATATATATATATTAAAAAAAAGAGAAAGCGCAAACGTTCTTGCTTCTTATGTGGATAATTTTAAACATATATTATATTTTATTTTCTATACTTATAGAAAATAAAGCATCATATATATTTTTTTAAAAATGTCCACATTACAATCAAAATCTTAGCGGTTTCTCTCTTCTTTTTAAAATATACACTGTACTCTCCTTCGAACAAGTATAGCCGCTTACACACACTTACACACACACACACACACACACATATATATATATATATATATATATATAAAATACATACATATTTCTTTCTCTCTCTCTCTCTCTCTCTCTCTGTATATATATATATATATATATATATATATATATATATATATATATATATATATATATGCATGTATCTATGTATAAGTATATATACTATGGTATGCGCGATAGTTCTCGACCGGACACACGACATAATTTCAAAAATCTCACCAAATGACGAAACATCTGTTTTTATTTTCGAATAATTTTCGAATCTCTTTTTGTTTGGCTCAAGTAATTTTCTACCTGCCTTCAAATACGTAAGTACACCGAACATTTCACCGGCCAAATAATGAAACAATGTATTTATTTTTCAGTGTAATCTCTTTCCTTCCTAGTGCCTTTAATTCAAAGGTGAATGTTAAGCTATCCGACGAGACACGGAAAACACCAACTTGGCAAAGGAAAACATTAAAGAACGCTTTCAAATTTCCAAAACATTTCGGTCGTGCGTTATATTTTTCGAAAACAGGTCGAGTTATAATCCCAATGAAAAATTCTCAACCACCATATTTTTTTTTTAAATTTTGTATAATAGAATAACAGTCTAGTCTGGTACAAGTTTAGTTACAGAGAGCACACATTGACCAGTTTGTATATTTCCCTAGGTATACAGACGCCATAAATAAACTAAACATTTTCCAATCTAGTATATAAAATTATTATGACCGGACTATGACTAGCAAAGGACTATAAGTTTATCTTCGCTTTAGCATGTAGTTTCAAGTATAGAGCACGTATTTTGGACCGCACTGACTATTCATTTATCCGTGTGTAACCTTGGTAACCATTATCCTATGTCGAGACACCTGACGAGGAAAAGTATTATTTACTGAGATTGATACAAGGTTACAATTATTGGAAACTCAGTGAAGATAAAATTTATTTATCAGTAATAAGGAACTGCTCAGTCAATTTTCTCACCATTATTCCATGATGAGAAGCCTTAGTAAATATTATATATTCAATTTGATAAGTACCGCTTTGGTCGCCATGATACAAGGCTTTTTTGTTCCCTGGTCGCATTACAGTTCGTTTTTACCAAGGTAACAAGTCCCAACATGGCAACTATAAACACAGTACATATAATCTCGCTAATATTCAGTCTCTCGATTTTCAACCAAGATCTCTGGGGAAAACATTAAATCCGACAATATCTGTGAGCAGTAGTAATAATTTTCTTTTTAATATCAATTATGACTTATAGTAAAGCTGAATCAACCGAAAAATATGATACATTTTAAATTTAAATTTTGTAGTTATCTGTGTAATTCTGCCGTCGGCAATATTCAAAGATAGTGTATTACACAGAGAGACTTTGAAAAGGGTCATATGTACGTGGACAGACGGTTGTCTTGGTTGAACCTTTGTGGGGAATGCTATGGTCGGCAACGTTTGCTAAGGTTCGAACTGACGCTCGTAAACGAAGAGAGAACATAACACCTTAAAGAGACCATCACTCTAGTAGCAGTAGTGAATGCTGAGGTTGTGGCAGCCATTGAATTTGGGAATCGTGCCAGGGAGTGGTAGGAGGTGTGGAAGCAGTAAAGTAGGAGGCGAAATTGCAGTGAAGAAGAAGAGGAAAGAGGAAGAGGAAGAGGAAAAGGACACGTAAAAAAGAAACGAAAAAGAAAAAAAGAAAATGAAAATATTAAAAAGAAAAATCTAGAATACATATACAGTACACAAACATAGATCTCTCCTATTCTTTCTCTCTCTCTCTCTCTCTCTCTCTCTATATATATATATATATATATATATATATATATATATATATATATATATATATATATATGCGTGTGTGTGTTTGTGTGTGTGTGTGTGTGTTTGTGAGAGAATGAATGAAAGTGCGTTTGCAAGTTTCCAAAGCACTGCTAAGTTTGGCACAATGGGTGGGATTAGTGTGTTCCTTCCAAATTTCATATTGTGCCAATCCTAGCTTTACAATTTATTCCTTTCAAATATTTTCTATAGACCTGGGTCCAAACGCTGGAATACGTAAAAAGGCAGCCATATTCCCAAAATGTAGTCGTAAAAAATTGGTTTGAAGATAAGATTATTTTGACATGACATCGAAAGCATAGATCACCCAGAAGAATCGAACTCGCGCCCTCATGACAATAGTAATTTTATGGTTAACTATTAGTCCAAGTTAAGGCACTATGAGCCTTTATTTGTGTATGTGTGTGTGTATATATATATATATATATGTGTGTGTGTGTGTGTGTGTGTGTTTTTTTCCTATTTTTGTCATTTTTGGTATTTTTTAATCTTGTATTTAAAATAAAAATAAATATAATTATGAGGAAAAATTTATGAATTTTGTATGTAAAATATACAGTAAAAATAGACATAGATATACACAAATTATTTACTTCCAGTTACAAGGGTGGAATTATAATTTAAATATCAATTTGTACATATAAATATTTATTGAAACAATATCAATAATATACAGTTACTCATTAATATCCTGACATGTCCATACATATAGATTAATAAGGATATATATATACATACATAGAAATGGTTGCATAAGAATAACAACAAAAAAAAATTATATATACACACACACACACACACATATATATATATATATATATATATATATATATATATATATATATATATATATATATATATATATATATATATATATATATATAATCTCTATATAATTGCATGTAAACTAATTAATTCGAGTTATCTAAAATATATTCGTACAAATACACATATTATAGAGGGTTATAAACGTAGAATTATAATTTAAAAATATAAATAGACAGCTCTGGATAATGATAACAGGCCAATACAAGGTTAATGGTCAGTATAACTGCACATCTACTTAAGCAAAATAATATGGGTAGATAGATTGCAAGATAGATAGATAGATAGATAGATAGATAGATAGATAGATAGATGTGAATAGACTGAATGATATATAGATTATAGATAGATAGATAGATGAATAGATAGATAGATGTGAATAGACTGGATAGATAGATAGATGTGAATAGATAGATAGATAGATAGATAGATGTATAGATATAACCATAGATACATGACCAGATCAAATGGGATATATTTTTATAAACATGATTACACAACAGTATTCTATATAGATAGATGGATACATACATAGATATATATATAGATAGATATATATATATATATATATATATAATATATGTGTGTGTAGATGTGTGAGATAGATAGATAGATTTTAAAGTGATAGATAGATACATACATGATATAGATAGATACATACACACACACAGATGAATATACACACACATATAGATATATATATATATATATATATATATATATATATATATATATATGTATATATAGATAAAATGGACCCTAAGGTCAAGATCAAAAGATTCAGTATATTTCATATAAATAGATGCGTCTTGATTGATGATTGCGATTAAACATGAAACAGACTGTCCTTAGATGTGAATACACACACAGATATATATATATATATATATATATATATATATATATATATATATATATATGAATAGACTGATAGTTGAATTAGATAAATAGGAAAATGAATAGATAGATAAAATAGAAAATTTGAACAATTTTTCACGATATTAATAGTCAATATCATGGCTTAGATCTTTAGACTTGCTAAATATTTTCTACATTTTTGCTTGAATTTGAAATTTCTTCAATTCTTCATTAGTTACACGTTCTAATTCCTGAAATATTTTATAAACACCGACGATTTATTCACACTTTCAATTCTTGTCAGATTTTCATACACACAATTCACACATTGACACACCATATATATATATATATATTTATATATATATATTTATACGTATGTTTGGGATCATTATCTTGCTGGAAGATAATCGTGACCTGTGTGTTTTGCGCTGATAGTTTAGATTTTTATCCAAAATTTTTATATAGTCTGCAGTTTTCATTATTCCTCCTATTATATACCTCACACACAGTTAAAACAACCCAAAACATCATCAGCCCGCCTCCATATATTAATATTGCCATGTATATATTTATATATAAGATCATATATAAATATTCTGTATATATATGTGAAAAATGGACGATTTTGTTTCATCACTCCATAGAACTTTTTCCCAAAAGTAATTTTCTTTGTCCAAGAACGTTTTGACTTGATGATTGACAATTAAACATATGAAACAGACTTCGTTGTCGTCGGTTTCCACACAAGCCATTTCTATTTAAACAACGATATATATATATATATATATATATATATATATATATATATATATATATATCTTTCAAAACAACTGATAGTTGAATTATACAAAACTTTTCGTTCAATTATTTTCTTCCAGTATGAAAATTCTCTGAAAACTTTTAAAATTTTAACGACTGTATTAATCTAGGGATAGCTATCATGGTTTGAAATCTTTATAACTATTTCCCGAAATATTTTTCTAATTCTCTTTCTCAGGTCAAATTTGAAATTTTCTTCAATTCTTCATTAATGTTAAGTTCTAATTCCTATACAAGGTATTTGGTGACCGACGATTTATTCGATAAATAGTCTTGAATTCTTGTCAGAAAATTCAATAGGATTCAATTCAGTCCTCATTGAACCGGCCATTCTACAGAACTTTTTGTCTTCTTTTTTGCATGATTCGCCTGTCAAAATTTACTGATTTAGACGTATGTTTGGGATCATTATCTTCCTTTTTTGGAAGATAAAATCTTGGCATTACACGACCTAAGATGAAAAAAATTTTCAAATTGATAGTTTTACTATTTTCATATAAATTTTTATATACAGTGCAGTTTTCATTATTCCTCCTATATATATATATATATTATATATATATATCCTATATATTAAAACAACCCACAAAATACATCATCGAGCCGCCTCCATGTTTTAATGTTGCCACTTGTGTGTTCTTTGGTAGGTTTTCAGACTCACCTTTTATTTATTCAAATTTCTTTTGTACCTCATTATGTCCAAAAAAGCTCGATTTTTGTTTCATCCTCCATAGAATTACTTTTCCCAAAAGTAATTTTCTTTATATATAGAACCTGAAGATTTTAAAAATTAAACCTAAGTGCGACAATTTTAGTCACGGTATGTAAAGAGGTGTTTAATTGTCGTTATATTTCCATAGTCCTGCCATTTCTATTTAAACAACGTTGTAATCGGGATATGGACGGTTTTGAGGCTGATACCAATCGTATCAAATTATTGGCGATGTCTTTCAAAACAGCTCTTGGGTTTATATTCACCTCAAAAACACAAAGTTCGTTCAGTTCTGGGTGACAATTTTAGGTTTCTTCCAAAAAGTACCAGTAATACAAATTCTCTGTCGTGCCAAACTGTTTAAACTTCTTTATAACATTAAGTAATCACTGTAGATCTAGGGATAAACAAAATCAACAAAACAACCTACATGAAGTTTGAAATAATACATATAACTATTTCCCGACTTGTGGAACTTTAATAATTCTCTGTCTCAGGTCAAAAATTCAACATAAAACTCCTTTGTCTTCCCCTATCGTATTGTTAATGTAATATAATAACAATGGCGACACTATATGCACCACGTGATGTCCTTTTAAGCTGGAATTATCATAAATATTCTACTGAATAAATAGTCTCAAGGGTTCCACTGATAAAATAATTTTTTTCATGTAAATTTCTTATACTTACACGAATCAATCAATTTAACCGATATTTTCTTGTTACTTTATATGAATAATTTTAAGTGCTTTTCCTATTTTAAATAACATTCCGCCTGTCAAAATTTATTATTCGTTCATTTAACCTAGTCCTTCTGAAAATTAAGTTTTATATTCCTTTTTTATGGTTATTAACATATAAATCTTGGCATTACACGAGCATTACATTCTAAGAAATGTAAAAAATATTCAAATTGATAAATGGACGAGTTACTATATATATATATATATATATATATATATATATATATATATATACACGACATGAAAAAATTAATTAAGTTTTAAATATCAATTTTAATACCGACTTCAAACGTTTATTGTTAAAATTTACAGTTGTCAGGGGTTGTTAAATGTTTTTAAACGGTATATCCATTTTTCAATTTTTAAATCTATAAACACACACACACACACAAATAAAATATCTTATATATATATATATATATATATATATATATATATATATATATATATATATATATATATATATATATATAAATTTGACTTTTTTTATTTAGTAATATATATATATATATATATATATATATATATATATATATATATTTATATATATATATATATATATATATATATATATATATATATATATATATATATATATATATATATTATAGCTTTTTGATTTATTAATACGACAGCTTTTATTACTTAAATGTTATTTTTATTGGATACCCATACTTCTGTAAATGCTCGGGATTA